TGGAGTGCAATGGCACGATCTCGGCTCACTGCAACCGCCGCCTCCTGGGCTCAGGCAATTCTCCTGCCTCAGCCTCCTAAGTAGCTGGAATTACAGGCACGTGCCACCAGGCCCAGCTAGTTTTTTGTATTTTTAGTAGAGACGGGGTTTCACCATGTTGACCAGGATGGTCTCGATCTCTGGACCTCGTGATCCACCCGCCTCGGCCTCCCAAAGTGCTGGGATTACAGGCTTGAGCCACCGCGCCCGGCCTTCCTTTTGTTAAATAAAATGATGGTGACAGGAGATAGTGGTGTGATACTTGCTTTTACTGGCAGTGCCTGGTAGAAACAAAAAATCAGGCCAGGCATGGTGGCTCACAAGGTCAAGAGATTGAGACCATTCTGGCCAACATGGTGAAACCCCGTCTCTACTAAAAATACATAAATTAGCTGGGCATGGTGGCATGTACCTGTAATCCCAGGTACTCAGGAAGCTAATGCAGAAGAATCACTTGAACCCAGGAGGCAGAGCCTGCAGTGAGCTGAGATCACGCCACTGCAGTCTAGCCTGGCGACAGAGCGAGACTCCGTCTCAAAAAAAAAAATAAATAAATAAATCAGCATTTCTATTGTAGCCTCCTAATTTTGGGGAAATATTTCTGTAGAAATCTAAAAGTCTGACCTTTTACATCATTATGGCCCCAAAATAATATGGAACTTTACACACAGATAATTGATGCCCCTCAAGATTTTCTCTTTAATCTCTACCTTATTCTGTTTGGATTAGCACATTTGGGGATTGTGAAATGAGAATAAAGTTGAACATAAGCAATCCAAAACCATGTGTTGACACTGGATCCTGAAAGAGGACTTTCTTCAGAATCTTTTTCATCTGTTAACTTTTCTCGGGCTCAAACATTTTTTCTTTTTTCTTTTTTTTTTTTTTGAGACAGTTTCTGCACTTGTTGCCCAGGCTGGGTACAGTGGTGCGATCTCGGCTCACCACAACCTCTGCCTGCCAGGTTCAAATGAGTCTCCTGCCTCAGCTTCCTGAATAGCTGAAATTACAGGTATGCACCACCACACCCAGTTAATTTTGTATTTTTAGTAGAGACAGGGTTTCTCCATGTTGGTCAGGCTGGTCTTGAACTCCTGATCTCAGATGATCCACCCACCTCGGCCTCCCAAAGTGCTGGGATTACAGGCGTGAGCCAGGTGGCTTCAAACTTTCTTATGATTTGAGACGGATTTTCGCTCTTGTTGTCCAGACTAGAGTGCAATGGTGTGATTTCAGCTCACCACAACCTCCATCTCCTGGGGTCAAGCAGTTCTCCTGCCTCAGCCTCCCGAGTAGCTGGGATTACAAGTGTGCACCACCACGCCCACCCACTGGATTTTGTATTTTTAGTAGAGATGGGGTTTCTCCATGTTGATCAAGCTTGTCTCGAACTCCCGACCTCAGGTGATCCGCCTGCCTCAGCCTCCCAAAGCAATGATATTACAGTTGTGAGCCACCACACCCAGCCTGGGCTCAAACTTTCTTTTCCTAAGTGTCACATATTTGAGTAGTACTGCTATATGGCAATCACTACTCAAAAGAAAATAACTTGAGGTGTCCAATAATCAGCTTTCATTTAAAGTCTCTTTCAGCTTGACGAAATAAAACCTTTCAATGTTTTGTCTACGTACTTCCAAAAGAAAATTAGTCTATATATGTATATATATGTGACTACATATGTATATATACATATGTGATTTTGATCAGCCTGTTTATAAACTATTTCCAAAATAAGTTGACCTGTAAGTTCATTTATTAAATGAGTAGTTTATAAACTACTTGATTTTTGCAAGTAGTTTATGAACAGGCTGATCAAACTGAACAAATTTCTTAAAATAATTTCACTGTATACATAGCAAGTAAGTTATTTACTCTTCATATTAGCATATCTTATTTTTACCTATCCTTAACAGGCATCTAAGTTAAACTGTTTTATGTCCACAGCTACACACTGAAACAGCACTTTCAGTCACAACATATTAAATTCAAATTTAAACTATAAAGAGATCCAGTTACCTTAATGTTACATGTACTTATTATATATACTTTTAATATACTTCTTGATGTTTTATGATGCACACACAGCTCTTGCAGGACATATAACTATGAGAATATTTACAATGTCTGCTTAGTGAATGGTTCAAAACTCTTTTTTTTTTTTTTTTTTTTGAGACGGAGTTTTGCTCTTGTTACCCAGGCTGGAGTGCAATGGCGTGATCTCAGCTCACCGCAACCTCCACCTCCTGCCTCAGCCTCCTAAGTAGCTGGGATTACAGGCACACGCCACCATGCCCAGCTATTTTTTGCACCTTTAGTAGAGACGGGGTTTCACCATGTTGACCAGGATGGTCTCGATCTCTCGACCTCGTGATCCACCCGCCTCAGTCTCCCAAAGTGCTGGGATTACAGGCTTGAGCCACCGCGCCCGGCTCAAAACTCTTTTTTAAAAAAGTCAATTTTAAGAAATTAAGTATAAAGTACTCCTTCCATGCCCTAATGTTAAAAGGTCCATTTATTTTAGACTTGTTTTTAAAAAAAAATCTAAAATTGGTAATAATTCTGCTTAAATTCCATATTAATCTAGGATCAAAAGTTATTTTAGCCGGGCGCGGTGGCTCAAGCCTGTAATCCCAGCACTTTGGGAGGCCGAGGCGGGTGGATCACGAGGTCGAGAGATCAAGACCATCCTGGTCAACATGGTGAAACCCCGTCTCTACTAAAAACATTAAAAAAAAAATTAGCTGGGCATGGTGGCTCGTGCCTGTAATCCCAGCTACTCAGGAGGCTGAGGCAGGAGAATTGCCTGAACCCAGGAGGCGGAGGTTGCGGTGAGCCGAGATCGTGCCATTGCACTCCAGCCTGGGCAACAAGAGCGAAACTCCGTCCCAAAAAAAAAAAAAAAAAAAAAAAAAGTCATTTTAGTTCTTTTCTCTTAAATACTTGAAATGTGCTGCTGCATGTTTTCCTTATTCAATCGACTAACTTCAGGTGGAAGGTACTTATGAGTTTAAAAATCCTTTCCCACAGTGGAAATAACATAAATATTTTGCATAAAAGACAATTTCTCAGGCCGGGCGCGGTGGCTCAAGCCTGTAATCCCAGCACTTTGGAAGGCCGAGGCAGGTGGATCACAAGGTCAAGAGATCGAGACCATCCTGGTCAACATGGTGAAACCCCGTCTCTACTAAAAATACAAAAAAGTAGCTGGGCATGGTGGCACATGCCTGTAATCCAAGCTACTCAGGAGGCTGAGGCAGGAGAATTGCCTGAACCCAGGAGGCGGAGGTTGCGGTGAGCCGAGATTGTGCCATTGCACTCCAGCCTGGGTAACAAGAGCGAAACTCCGTCTCAAAAAAAAAAAAAAAAAGACAATTTCTCAAAGGGTATCTGAGGGTGTAATCAGCCTACTATGGTTCAGAATAACCACCAACAACTGTGAGCTTTTTGTTACATCTGTGTATTTTCCCCTGTAAACTAATACCTACATTTTAAATGCATTTTCAAAACGTTTCATTTGGCCATGTGAGAATCATTTCCCCTGTAAAAAGCTACAGGATTTTGGTTTAAGAGCAAATGAGACAGAGTATCTGGTCCATAAGAAGGCTAAGTGAAATGATCTGCAACCTGAAGTTTGTAACCAATAACAAGACAAACTCCAGTGCTACCTTGTTTATGTAATCAACAATATGTGAGTCGAAATGAACTAGTGAGCTATGCATTTCTGTCTGCATACCAATTTACCAATCAACAGGAGGGGAAGAAATTGCTCAAATGTGACTGTTAACAAACATGTTAACATACATCTAAATATTAAACATAGTCTCTATAAAAATCGTAACCTATCAATTCTGAAATCATTTCTTCAACTTCCGTTGTTTTTAATCCCACCCACCAAAAAAAAAAAAAAAAAGCAGCCACCTTTAAAATGTAAATTCCTCCCTTTTTCAAAGTAACTTGCCTAGGAAAATTTAATGCGTTAAAATAAAACGTAACAGACAAACCAATTACAACATTAAAAAAAAAAAAAACTAAAATGATCAGTAACACAAACCAATCGCTCAAGTTTAGCAAAGCGTGTGTTTTTAATCTGTTGTGGGTTATCTTATACTAATAAGCAACAAAGTTTAAAAGTCATCCCAATATAAAATGCAATAAAAAAAATAGAAAAAAAGTCATCCCAATACCTAAAACATCACCATACATATAACATACTTGTCATTTACTCCAATGAAGCTTAAACTCAGACCCAAACTCAGATCATTTCCCCTTCCTGCCACATTGAAACATACAAGGGGAAATCCAAGAAATCAGATATGTTAAGCGCCGGTATCTTCTTCCAGAGTAGGGTCAAACTCGTGTTTGCCCTGTCACCGTCCCAGGGAAGTCTGCAAATTCTCACTAGCGCTGGAGTACAAAGAGACCTGACCACGGAAACACCTGTCCTAACACCAGGAAGACACTGGGAAACGCAAACCCCCTGAGTCCAAGCCGTCCCCAAAGTTTCGGCTGCAGCGATGGAGGGGCGGGGGGGACAAGAGGTGGCCGCTGGCCTTGAGGGTGCGGCGGACAGGGTCCTACACCCCGGTTCGCCTCCCGAGAACCAGGAAACCCATCAGGCTGGCCGGGCCCCACCCTCCTCAGACCCTCGCGCTCCAGCCCAGCGCGGCCCCCGCCCGCCAGACCGCATCCCTACCGCCCCGACCTCCCATATGCACTCTGTCACCTCATCCCTCCCCGGCGGCCTCGCAGCCCCGCTACTTTTGCTGCGCGGCCTGGGCTCCGGACGCCCCTGGAGCAGGAGCGCCCAGCTGCCGCCCCCCGCCCTGCCCCGGCCGGACCCCGGCCGTTCCTACACTGCCAGCTCCCAGCCAGCTCAGGCCCGAGCTCCCGCCGCGAGCTCCCCACCTCCAGCCTGCACCTGGCCCCGCGCGGCCGCTCCCGGCCCACTCCCTAATGGCTACCTGGAGGCAAAGGTGGCGAAGCACCTCACCCAGCGCCCCAGGTCGCAGAGGGCCCAGTGCTCGGGGTCCCGCTCCTGCTCCCTCTCCACCTGGTAGGCATAGATGGAGAGCACGATTTCCGCATCACACACGACATACACGGCCACCCGCTCCCACCGCAGCACCGACACTCACAGGAGGACCGGCGCCGCCATCTTACCCCTCCTTCCGCCTCCGCCTCCTTCCGCCTCCACCTCAGCCCCTGCCCTCCGCCCGACCCAGCCGCCTCGCCCCATTGTCACGGTCGCTTGCTCTGGGCGTCCCCACAGGCGCGCGGCCCAACAGCCTCGAAATGAGGCTGGCAGAGCAGGGAAAGCGCGCACGGCACGGAAGAAGGGGGCTCAGCGCGCAACCGCCCAGGAGGCCGGACTGGCTGGGAGACTGAGGCTGTGCGTCGCGGCGCGCGTGAGGGGCGGGGCCTGGGGTGAGGGCGGGGCCCGGGGTGACGGGCGGGGCCCGGGGTGACGGGAGGGACGGAGCGGGAGGGACTTCGGGGAGCCCTTGCCAGGAACACGTAGCAAGGATCCCACTGTGGGTGGCTGGGTGAACCCTCGGCCCCTCCCTCTGGGATGGCAACCAGTTGCCATCCTTTTTCCCTTTTTTGCCGTTATCACTTGATATTTCTGACACAATCCAAATCACCTCTGGCCAATGGTTGGGGCTCCTGAGCCACCCTCCTATGACCTGATCTTCCCACCACCACCTCCAGGCACTTGGTGTTCAACCTGTGCAAAATATTTTTTTTTAATGTGCAGAACTATGTTTTAAATTAAAAAACTGTTTTTAAAAAATGATTTATGGGCCGGTCGCAGTGGCTAATGCCTGCAGTCCCAACAATTTGGGAGGCTGAAGAAGGTGGATCACTTGAAGTTAGGAGTTCAAGACTAGCCTGTTCTACATGGTGAAACCCCCGCCTCTGCTAAAAAATAAAATAAAATAAAATAAAAAATTAGCCAGGCATGGTGTTGTGTGCCTGTAATCCCAGCTAAGTAGCTGGGAGGCTGAGGCACGAGAATCACGTGAACCCGGGAGGCGGAGGTTGCAGTGAGCGGAGATCGCTCCACTGCACTCCATCCTGGGCCATAGAGTGAGAGTCTCAAAAAAAAAAAAAGTTTACTAATGCCTTGCTTCTTTGTCAGCTGAATTTGTGGTGGCTCACCATAATCCATATCACATAGAAAAATATAGATGAGCTAATAAAATCAGTACAAAGAAAAGGAAAAGTCAGGCCCAGGCGCCGTGGCTCATGCCTGTAATCCCAGCACGTTGGGAGACTGAGGCAGGTAGATCACCTGAGGTTGGGAGTTCAAGACCAGTTTGACCAACATGGAGAAATCCTGTCTCTACAAAAAATACAAAATTAGCCAGGTGTGGTGGCGCATGACTGTGATCCCAGCTACTACTCCGGAGGCTGAGGCAGGAGAATCCCTTGAACCTGGGAAGTGGAGTTTTCAGTGAGCCGTGCCACCACACTCCAGCCTGGGCAACAAGAGCGAAACTCCATCTTGTTTCAAAAAAAAAAAAAGAGAGGCCGGGCGCGGTGGCTCAAGCCTGTAATCCCAGCACTTTGGGAGGCCGAGGCGGGTGGATCACGAGGTCGAGAGATCGAGACCATCCTGGTCAACATGGTGAAACCCCGTCTCTACTAAAAATACAAAAAATTAGCTGGGCATGGCGGCACGTGCCTGTAATCCCAGCTACTCAGGAGGCTGAGGCAGGAGAATTGCCTGAACCCAGGAGGCGGAGGTTGCGGTGAGCCGAGATCGCGCCATTGCACTCCAGCCTGGGTAACAAGAGCGAAACTCCGTCTCAAAAAAAAAACAAACAAACAAAAAAAAAAAAAAGAGAGAGAGAGAAAAGTCAGAATAAAATGAAAGGCCAGGAATAAGAACACAGATAATCAAGTCATAGGAGCTTACATAGTTATTAAAATTGGGTCATACATTTGGCTCTGAGCTTCCTGGTGGCCAAAACTAAAAGGAAAACACATGTATGTGCTTTTCTCACTGTCTCTAAGAAGAAACACAGTGTTCTTGGAGACTCTGTGTTTCCCTAGTTGCAGCTTTCAATTTTTTAGGGGCTTTATATAGTGATTTTGAGTAATAAGCAATATCCTTGTTTTCATTACCTATTGTTGGGTAAAAATCTCCCCAAATTTAGCAGCTTAATAAACAATACGCTTTTTTTTTTTCCTCACAGTTTCTTTCTTTCTTTCTTTCTTTCTTTTTTTTTTTTTGAGACGGAGTTTCGCTCTTGTTACCCAGGCTGGAGTGCAATGGCGCGATCTCGGCTCACCGCAACCTCCGCCTCCTGGGTTCAGGCAATTCTCCTGCCTCAGCCTCCTGAGTAGCTGGGATTACAGGCACGCACCACCATGCCCAGCTATTTTTTTTGTATTTTTAGTAGAGACGGGGTTTCACCATGTTGACCAAGATGGTCTCGATCTCTTGACCTTGTGATCCACCCGCCTCGGCCTCCCAAAGTGCTGGGATTACAGGCATTAGCCACCGCGCTCAGCCTTTCCTCACAGTTTCAATGGGCTAGGAGTCTGGGTGAGGTTACCTGTGTCCTCTGGCTCAGGCTCTTATGAGGATACAATCAAGCTGTCAGCCAAGGCTGCACCTCCCTCAAGGCTTGACAATCCTCTTTCAAACTCACTCCCATGGCTGCTGGCAGGCCTCAGGTCCTCTCTGTCTGTTGGCTGGAGGCCTCAGTTCCTGTCCACTTCATAAGAAGCAGCTGGCTTGCCCCAGGGCTAGGGAGGAGAAAGAGGAAGAGAAAGAAAAAGAAAATGAGGGAGAGATCGCAGCCATGTTGTCTAACCTAATACCAAAAATGACATCCCATCACTTTTATGTACTCTATTACTACTCAGAAAATAGCACCTAGGTCCAGCAAGGCATGATGGCTCACACCTGTAATCCCAGAATTTTAGGAGGCCCAGGCAGATAGATCACCTGAGGTCAGGAGTTTAAGACCAGCCTGATCAATATGGTGAAACACCATCTCAACTAAAAATACAAAAATTAGCTGGACATAGTGGAACACCCCTGTAATCCCAACTACTTGGGAAATCGAGGCAGAAGACTCACTTGAACGTGGGAGGCGGAGGTTGAAGTGAGCCAAAATCACACCATTGCACTTCAGCCTGGCCTAGAAGGCAAAACTCTGTAAAAAAAAAAAAAAAAGAAAGAAAAAGAAAAGAAAGAAGAAAGAAAGGAAGAAAGGAAGAAAGAAAAGAGTTCCAATAGTCCTTATGTCCAGCCCTTGCTCAAAGGGAGAGGATTATACAGGATGTAAATATGAGAAGGCTGTTTACCACAGTCCTCAAAAACATCCTCACTCTGCCCAGGTGGGGTGGCTCACAACATTTTGACAGGCTGAGGCAGGATGATTGCTTGAGGCCAGCAGTTCGAGACCAGCCTGAGCAGCATAGGGAGCTCTGGTCTCTGCAAAAAATATACAAAATTAGCTGGGTTGGTGGTGCATGTCTGTTGGTCCAGTCACTTGGGAGGCTGAGGGGGGAGTACTGATTGAGCCCAGGGGTCTTGGGATGGGGGTGTGGGTTGAGGCTGCAATGAGCCGACATTGTCCCACTGCACTCCTACCTGAATGACAGAGTGAGACCCTGATTAAAAAAAAAAAAAAACCTCACTCTGCATCCCTAATGATTTTCATAAATCTAAGTGGACTCCTGTAGCTTCCCTTTGTGGTACTGGAGCCAGCATAGAAAGTCAACACCAAGGGCCGGGCGCGGTGGCTCAAGCCTGTAATCCCAGCACTTTGGGAGGCCAAGGCGGGTGGATCACGAGGTCGAGATATCGAGACCATCCTGGTCAACATGGTGAAACCCCGTCTATACTAAAAATACAAAAAATTAGCTGGGCATGGTGGCGCGTGCCTGTAATCCCAGCTACTCAGGAGGCTGAGGCAGGAGAATTGCCTGAACCCAGGAGGCGGAGGTTGCGGTGAGCCGAGATCGCGCCATTGCACTCCAGCCTGGGTAACAAGAGCGAAACTCCGTCTCAAAAAAAAAAAAAAAAAAGAAAGTCAACACCAAGACAAAAGTATGCCAAATTGCAGGGTCTTTATTGCTGGTGGCCACGGAGGACTTACATCTCTCCAACCCACGGCCCTCCAAAGGAGGGTGTCAAGACCTTCCATGTCCATAAACCACCTCGGGGGTGAGAGTGAGGGGCTTCAGACATTCCGAGGGCCAGTGGATTCCATAAATCACCTCCTGGGCAGAGATGAGGGTGAGGAGCTCTGGACATTCCGAGGGCCAGGGGACTTTGGACATTCCAATTGTTACTTAAGTGCTTCACAGAAGTCAAGATAAGCATTAGTTTACACATTGCCTGGGTAGGGTGGAAATTATAGACCTTAGTTGCTTATTACAAGTTGCAGGGGCCAAGATGGCGTGGGTTTGGATTGCTTGCCTGTCACATTAGGGTTACAGAGAGCAGTTTCAACAGAAAGCCGAGGTATGGTTGAGGTATGCAGTTTTATGGGCTTTTACCATGTCACACCTTCTTATAGATTCCTTTACTCAGTTAATGAGATCTCTTGATCATCTGGCTTCTTTTATATCTGGGAGGTTTACCCATGTTATTGCAGATAGTGACTGTTACTTTTCATTACTGTGTAATAATCCATTACATTACGTAGCCACAATTTTATTTATCCATTCTATTGCTGTTGGACATCTGGCTCATTTTTAGCTATCATGAATTAAGTTGCTATGGATATTCTGTAAATGAGTTTTGGTGGACATAAGCCCTCATTTCTTTCTTTCTTTCCTTTTTTTTTTTTTTTTTTTTTTTTTTTGAGACGGAGTTTCGCTCTTGTTACCTAGGCTGGAGTGCAATGGCGCGATCTCGGCTCACCGCAACCTCCGCCTCCTGGGTTTAGGCAGTTCTCCTGCCTCAGCCTCCTGAGTAGCTGGGATTACAGGCGCGCGCCACCATGCCCCGCTAATTTTTTATATTTTTAGTAGAGACGGGGTTTCACCATGTTGACCAGGATGGTCTCGATCTCTTGACCTCATGATCCACCCACCTCGGCCTCCCAAAGTGCTGGGATTACAGGCTTGAGCCACCGCGCCCAGCCTCTTTCTTTCTTTTTAATTGGAGAGAGAGTTTTGCTCTTGTTACCCAGGCTGGAGTGCAGTGGTGTAATCATGACTCACTGCAACCTCTGCCTCAGTCTCCCAAGTAGCTGGGATTACAGGCATGTGCCACCACAATTGACTATTTATTTATTTGTTTTGTATTTAGTAGGGATGGAGAGTCATCATGTTGGTCAGACTGGTCTTGAACTCCTGACCTCAGGTGATCCACCCATCTCGGCCTCCCAAAGTGCTGGGATTACAGGAAGTGTTGGGATTACAGG